CTCTCTCTAGCCTTCTCTGTAAATGTTAGATTTAAAAGGTTATGTACAAACATGTAAGTTATAAAGAAGTTGCCAAAAACCTTAAAATCTAGAATCCTTAGAGCTTGTCTGCTATTATGCAGAGAAGATTGTGGAAGCAAATATTAGTCATTCACATCATTTTCTGTGTTGAGTCAACATCTATTTTTAGGTGCGGAGCACATAGACAACTCTTTGACACATAAAACACATAAAGACATCCATTTGACATCATTTGTGTTTGGGCTAAGGCTCAGGAAGAGAGGAAGACAATTGCTGTGAAAGCATTGTATTCATGATGGGACCCCCCATTTCCTTCCAAGACACATTTTAAGACATGATGTAGGAATGTACTGATCTGTTTATATTTAAATAAATCAAGATGAAGTGCAAAATATTCAGGTTTGGATCCAGTGCTATTTCAGATGTGCTGGAACGTAATTCTTCATGATCTGTGCTGAATACTTGCCATTAGGCTTTATCCAGGAAGTATTTTTATGTTAAATGTGTGTATTCTAAATGTATACATTATTTTTAAAGTGCAGAAGGCTTTTTATGCATATATTGTAATTACAAATCTGATTCAGAGGTAGAAGAGCAGTTGAGAGACTTGATTTAATAATTTTCCAACAGCATACATGCAGCTAGATTTTCTTGTTCGCTTGGTCATAATATTTTATGGTCTGGTTCTGGGCTTATAGTGCAAGGGAACTTCTCGTGATAAATTGCAGATATGACAATGAGTGTCAGTATACAGTTCCCCAAGCAGATGTTCATTTAGTCTAATTTCACCAGTACTTTACTGTTCATCCAGAACAGATCTTGCTAGCTCAGGATGAAAACAACAAAGAGAGACAGCACAAAAGATCACTCTGCAAATAACCTGATCTGTTTCAGGCACTTGGAGGGGGGAAAAAATAAAACATACTGGAATTTCAGAGTGCTATGTCTGTGCTAAGGTTGTTACATGTTGGATACAGTACATCATCCATACACCCACAGCCCATAGGGGTAAATTTACAAAGCCGTGCGTAGGAAGTTGCACACTGATCTACCTCTGAACAATAGTTATTTTATGTCTGCACTTAACCCTTGCATTTGTTTTTAAGGTCTCTCTAGCTTTTCCTTTGTTCTTCCAGCCTTTCCTGGCTTTGCTGGTTTTGCAGAACAGGTAGTGTCTGAACTTGAGGGTTATTGCTTGTGAAAGAACAGAAAGTAATTTGTCTGTTTAAAATGCAAAGGGTGGCTCTAGCTTACTAATACACCTTTCCTTTTCTTTAATCCATAGGTGTCGTATGCCCGTCCAAGTTCAGCATCGATCAGAGATGCGAACTTGTATGTCAGCGGCCTTCCAAAAACAATGACCCAGAAAGAATTAGAGCAGTTATTCTCACAATATGGGCGCATCATCACCTCACGGATTCTGGTTGATCAAGTTACAGGTTAAAAGAAAACTTTTCTTGATACATGCATGTTTTTCTGGAAATGGCAAAATTGTAGATGCTTGCTGGGAGTTGAGTTTTAAGACAATATGACTTTTAGTGTAAAATGCAGTACCTGGTTCTCTATAAACGTAACTGTTTGGAGGCGTAACTGCTGCCTCTTCAATGACAGGTCTTAAAATGCAGAATGGTGTTTACTTAGGTGGGGGCTGATTTTGGGGAACACAGCTGGGGAAGGTCATTTTTCTTTATAGGACTTCCTTTAATTTGCAAGCTGTGTATTCTGTGAAGTCAAAACCAACATTTAGTTTGTTTGTTTCATAGATGAGGCTGTTGCTACAAATATTCATCTGATCGCATGTTTTTACTTCCCAGGGGTTTCTCGAGGTGTGGGATTTATCCGTTTTGATAAGAGAATAGAGGCAGAAGAAGCCATAAAGGGACTAAATGGCCAGAAGCCTAGTGGTGCTACAGAACCAATTACTGTGAAGTTTGCCAATAACCCCAGCCAGAAGACAAGCCAGGCACTCCTTTCACAGCTGTATCAGTCTCCCAACAGACGCTACCCTGGACCACTTCACCACCAGGCTCAGAGATTCAGGTAATTACCTGGAAAAGAACCGAAGTTCCACCAGTGATGACAATGTGGGGCAGGTGCTGCGCAGGAAAATATGCTTTAGTTGCGTAGGCTGACCTGATTTTCTTTGTAAAATTAAATATTCTTTCCTGGAGAATGAGGAGGAAAATCTGCTGACAGCAGTAGTCATGTTGTATTTACTAAAACAGCTGAAGTACTGTACAATCAGATCTCATGAAGTCTCATAGAAAAAGGGAGGACAGAATAGAGTTACACTGATAATCAAATGAGCAGTGACTATCCTGTTCTTTCTCATTTTTTTTAGTAATGCTTTTATTTTCTGCTGTATTATTACAGTTTTGATGCAGCTTAGACTTTGATGTTAATGACAGTGGATTGGTAGCAGGAAGAAAGCTGAGTCTGTTCCAGTCAGCAGCAGTATCATTAAATTTATTAGCCCGAGATATCTGCTCTCAGTATAAAGAGACCTTGTATTAGTCTTTAGTGTGAGTCTTCAGATATTTTCCGGGATGTTTTATGCTTTGTGTTCTGCATATACTGTTTCCATCTGTTATGTAAGCCAGAGTTAGCAATACATGATGTTCACATTACTTTTATATTTGATAATAGTTTTCTAGGCAACCTAGTATTCAAATAAAAAGCCTGTCTTCAAAAAAAGAGAACTTGGACATACTCGCATAGCTGAGTTGCATATTGGCTTTATAGAATTATTCAAAAGTAATTTTAGTCTTTCAGTGATGAAAAGTGCAAATGAATTAAAGATCATTAAAAAAAGTCAGTCATCAGATACATTAAATTTACACTTGGTTTTGTGTCTTTGGCACGCAGCTGTGTCCATTGAGGTTATCGCTGAATCATTCCATGGATAGAAGGACTTTAGTGTGCTCCCATGGAAAGCAGATGATTATGTTTTGCAAAATTTGGTGGTCATTTAGATTGACGTATCATGACTAAATATATGTAACATACAGAGAATGTGTTATGTTAAAGCAGTTAGAATCAAGAATTTTTCCAGTTCCAGCAATTTTGAACTGTAACATTTTATTTCAAAGTTAACTGTGTAAGGTGAACAGTTGAATTATTTGCAAAAATTTCATACTGTCTAAAAAAGACAAATCAGAAATGGATTTTTTTAAAAAAACCAAACCCTGGAAATGAAGGTTTTCTCTAAGACTGTAGACAAGTTAAAAATTACTTTAAATGCTGTGGTGGAAATTTAAGCACAACCTCAGACTTAACAAAGCAGGCTGGGAGTTGTTAGGCTCCTTAGATGTGTGGGAAACTTGTTGAACGTTTCTTCTTTGAAAATGGAACACTATTAATAATAGTTCCATTGAGCGATCTTGCCATCTGTGAGACATTAACCCAAAGACCCTCCTTCTCTTTTCAGGCTGGACAATTTGCTTAATATGGCCTATGGCGTAAAGAGGTAATTAGAATTCCACAGATTGCCAGATGTCCGTGTTGGCACAGATTGGTGCTACAATTTATTTTTTTTAATTCACTAACTTTATTTTTTTTAATTCCTTCTTTTCTTCCACCAGCATGTCAAATTCTTTTTAAGTTTGGACTTCAGTTGGTTTTGTTACTTTAAAGGCCACACACGCAAATTCTGTGGGTTTTTTCAACCCTTTTTTTTTTATTTACAGGTGGGCTTCTGAAATGGTTTAGGTGCAACAGCTACAAGCATTCAAACTGCAGTTGTCCTGCTAAATGACACTTTTTCCAGAATCAGAACTCTTAAGTTTTTAACTAATCTCCAATCTGATAATGGAAAATTTAAGTCAAAAATAGAATTACACTGCTGTTGTCTAAATCTCACAGTTAAGACCTTTCTACTCATCTGGCTTCACAAGTTTGACTTGAAAATATAGCTGCGTGCACCTTAATCAGCCCTAAGTTTCTTTTGTTACAGGTTTAATACTTTGAAATTTTCTCAGTGCTTGAGATTTTTTTTTGTTTAAAATAGCTCTGTTTGTTCGTGTGTATGTGCACGCATGTGTGGAAGTTCGGCTGATTTGTAAACATTTATGCTGTTTCATGAGTATGTTCAATGTTTGATCTGATAGCTGAAATGAGTTGACGTGTTGTTAGTGTTTCTTCTAATGGCACACATCAACGCCAAGTGAACCTTACAGCAAAATAAAGGTGTAGTCTTATTCCTGATGTTACCATAAGATGTACAGCCATCCCCCACAACTAAGATGAGAAAATACTTCTTAATCTTCTGAAATGGTCTACTCGCCACGTTTGAAAATTATTTGAGCTTTTTTTAAAGCTCACCCTGTAAAATGGTATGGTAAGTATATCTTTACACTAGCTAGTAGTGGACAGTAACATGGGTTTTAATTGCTTCCACAGTAGCTATCATACAAATCACAAATCTTAAGACTGCCTCTGGTTTTACTATTATGTTTGTAAGTAGTGTATCTTCCCAGAAACACTACTTCTGGTGTTGATTAGTACATTTGTTACATTCGTGATGTCAGAACTTACCACCTGATTTTATCACACACCACTTCTCCTATGTTCTACTGTCTCATTTGTTTTTTGATAAATTGCCAAAAACATGGCAAAACTCTCAGCCTCAAGTATCTGTCAGGTACAAGTCAGTGTCAGAAGGATGGGTTTGTTCTGGGAATTTTCCCTGGGTTTGCTGCTGCTTTCCCTGGAATTGGACTGGTGTGTGGTGCAGGACAAACAGGGCTTAGTCCAAATTAGTGAGGGTTTGAATTCTGATTTCCTATGACCTACAGAGGGGAAAAAGAGAACTTATCTTTTTAGGTTATGCATATGTTTTCTTGCTATTCAGAGTCTGCAATGTTAGTCTTAAATTACAACGGGTTTTTTTAAGTTGTTTTGTAGGCATCTTACATTAGTTGTCTCTTTCTAGCAAATCTTGAAAACTTGTACTTGCACTAGCCAACCCTGTACTTACAGGCGTAGGGTCACCAAAAAAAATACTGTATTGATAAAAATTTCTGAAACCGCCTCTGAAGCGTCCATAGTGTAGTGTTCTTGGGTTTAGGGGTCAGTTCGTTCTTTCCCCATGTTAATTGTGGTGCTGATGGAAAACAAGACATGCTGATGTGGAAAACAGGTTTTATTGACACTAATTTCAGATCACTTCCTAGTAGCAGAGCTACTTACGTAATAGGTTATCTTGTATTTGTGTCAATACATTTGCACTAGTTTCTTGGATTTACAGCAGCTCCTGTGCTCATGGTACATAAATAGTTGAAAGCTGCATAGTTCCTAAAGGTTTTCAGGGAGAAGCTGCTCTCCAGTGAACTGTATGAAACTTTAACCCTTTACATCATGCAGCATTCCCTAAATGCAAAACTTTATAACATAGTGTGTGACATGCACAGCTTTGCATTGTACAGATTTTGCAATAACATCACTTGCAGGGTAGCGTATACATTAACTTCATGTTAAATTTAAACATTGCAGAAAAGGAGTGTTTGCAGGCTTACATATGTTACTAGCACAGTTGTCACTTGTCAGCCATGAGCTTAAAGTCCCATCTTCCAAATTTCAAAAGAAGTTGAAGGTGTTGGCTTGTACAAGCTCTCTGTCCTGGCTGCCTTATTTACAATTCCACATATGGTGGAAGGAGCAGTATAAATTGGCCTTGTCCAGCCATCTTTGTTTTCAGCAGCTGGGGAAATACCATGGATTAGAGCCATGCTGAACCCTTATGATAATGTTACTAGTTTCAGTATGCAGGAGAGACACTAAAAGATGCTGAGAGCGGGATTTGCAAAAGTGAAGTTCAGTCAGAAAATTGCCAGGTATTTCTAATAAACTGTCTGCAAAACCTGTATGTATGTTTGATGATCCCATGCTGTGAGGATTTGTGAACTGCTCATTTATAGCATAGCTACACCCCAGTGATGTTTATCAGCTTAAGATGTATATTCCAAGTGTCTTTTTTTTTGCTTGAATATGCATATAAAGTGCCATCAAGAGTCAACAGAATGGTGAGCAGCCATCAAGTGTGTAGTTTCTTTTATGGTTATTTAATATACAGTGCATAATATTGTGCAGATTGCTAAATGTGTGTGGAAATATTACCAGTGTAAAAGGAGAAGTTTTGGAGAGCACAAGAGCTCACTCAGCAGCACTGAGTCCCCCCCTCCATTCCCTCAGTCATCACTCAGAAAATCCTGAGGAATTATTATTCAGTTCTGGTATTAAATCTCATCATATTGAAGGTACATGTGAAACCGGATTTTTATTAAGAAGTTTCCTCTGTGCAGTTGTTATTTTAAAACATATCCCAAAGTGTAGCTTCAGAAAGCATGTCACTTTTTTCAAACTGATGAAAGGAAAATTATGTTGATCCTGAGGGCTGATACTGCTTAACATCTTCATTAATAACGTGAGTCACGGGCTGCGATGCGTCCTCCTTGCGTTCATGGGTGACACTAAATTGGTGAGGGAGCAGGGGCAGGCACTGTGCTGTTGGCCACAGCTGCCACTGGGGAGATGCTGACAAGCTGGAGGAATGTGGTGAAATTCAGAAAAGGCGAATGTAGAGTTTAGCCCCGACTGCTGTCTTCAGCTATCTACAAGCGGCATTAGAAGGAAGATGAAGCTGAGCTCTTCTCATGGGTCAACTGCAAAAGGACAAGAGTCAACAGTAACAGGTTGCAGCAGGGGAAATTCAGCTGAGTATAAGGGAAGATCATTACAGTGAGGGTGGTGGAGCCCTGGAGCCAGGGGCTTTAGCAGTGGAGTTCCCATCCTTGGAGACTTTCAAAACTTTCCTCTGTAAGGCCATGAGCAGCAGATCTAATCGGAGAAGTTAGCCTTGCTTCAAGCTGGAGATTGATCAGATGGCCTCCATAGATCCTGTCCAGCCTGTATTATTCTACAGTAGTTCTGTGTTCATAATCGCACTACCTGGCTTTAGCTTCCATGTTTAAGTTCGGAAGGTAAAATTCAGATGTTTAAGTTAGGAAAACAGGTCCCAAAAGACAATGTGGGGGAAGTTAGGGTGCTATATTAGATTTCTAGGAGCTTGTCTCTCCATGTTGACTGTCTGAAGAACCTAAGAGCCTGTCATGGACACGAAGTCTCACAGTATGAAGGTATTAGTTGACATGCTCATTAATTATATTTATGCACTGTTTTACTTACTCTACAGTCGCTGCATAAATCTTCTTTAATATGTGGCCAGCATTGGGACTTTTTTTATTAACTGGATTTTTTCCCAGTGTATGTCAATTAAGGACTATGTTAGGAGGAGAATTAAAATCTACCACTTAGATGTCTCTAAATGAATAGTATTTTTAGCTGAAGAGGCTACTTTTACAGCTGAATCCTGACAATAGCATTTCATATTAATCCCTTAAAATAAGTCTTGAAGTTTGGGGTTTGGTTTCTCCTTTTTTTTTCAGTGGCAACTAGTAAAAAGTAAAGCATTAGATCTCCATTGCCCTGAAACTGCATTATTTTAGTGATGGGAATGAGTGGCAAATTCCTACAGGCCTCTTTAAATGAACTCTAATTGATAGCAGCATGTGCAGGCCCTTTTTGACTTAGATTGTCCTTAACCGTTTCTTTTATTAGATCTTTGTATACATGTAAGTAGGGCTTATCCTTGAAGGGAGATGCATTTATGCCCAGATTGGTCTGGGTTTTTTGGTACAGCTTCCTTCCACTTAGGTAGCAATTAGACACCAAGGGTGGCTGTGTAGTCATCTTCCAGGGATAGGATCAAGAACTTCATTAACATTGGCTTATTGTAAAGTCTTGGTTCCATGTAGCTTGTGCCAAGAGATATATTTAGAATAGACCCCTCTTTTTACTTGGTAGGTTTTCTCCGATCACAATTGATGGTATGACGAGCCTTGTCGGAATGAATATCCCTGGTCACACTGGGACTGGATGGTGCATCTTCGTCTACAACTTGTCTCCTGACTCGGATGAGAGCGTGCTGTGGCAGTTGTTTGGTCCCTTTGGAGCAGTCAATAATGTCAAGGTGATCCGTGATTTCAACACCAACAAGTGCAAGGGATTTGGCTTTGTCACCATGACCAACTACGACGAAGCTGCCATGGCGATTGCCAGCCTTAATGGATACCGTTTAGGAGACAGAGTATTGCAAGTTTCCTTTAAAACCAATAAAACCCACAAATCCTGAATTTCATATCCTTACTTACTAAAATAT